GTTTCGTGGCCCCATAGGGAGCTCCACCGAAGGCCCCATGGCTGCCGTCCGCATGCGTCCCGCACACCCAGTTCGGCACACCCCTCACACGTTTCGTGGCCCCATACGGAGCTCCACCGAAGGCCCCAGTGCTGCCGCCCGCATGCGTCACCCACGCCCAATTCGGCACACCCCACACACGTTTCGTGGCCCCAGAAGAGCTCCGCCGAAGGCCCCAGTGCTGCCGCCCGCATGCGTCACGCACACCCAATTCGGCACACCCCTCACACGTTTCGTGGCCCCATAGGGAGCTCCGCCGAAGGCCCCAGTGCCCGCGCCCGCATGCGTCACGCACACCCATTTCGGCACACCCCTCACACGCTTCGTGGCTCCATAGGGAGCTCCGCCGAAGGCCCCAGTGCCCGCGCCCGCATGCGTCAGCCACGCCCATTTCGACACACCCCACACACGTTTCGTGGCTCCATGGGGAGCTCCACAGAAGGCCCCAGTGCCCGCGCCCCCATGCGTCAGCCACACCCATTTCGGCACACCCCTCACACGTTTCGTGGCCCCATAGGGAGCTCCGCCGAAGGCCGCGTGCCCTCGCCCCGCATGCGTCAGCCACACCCATTCGGCACGCCCTTCGCGCGTTCCGTGGCCCATATGGAGCTCCGCCGAAAGGCCCAGTGGGTGTGCCCGCATGCGTCCCGCACGCACATTTCGCACACCCTCGCCCCAGTGCCGCGCCCGCATAACCCCCACCCCACCCCACACCGTCCAACACACACCCATTTCGGCACACCCCTCACACGTTTCGTGGCCCCATAGGGAGCTCCACCGAAGGCCCCAGTGCCCGCGCCCGCATGCGTCAGCCACACCCATTTCGTCAACTCCCTCACACGTTTCGTGGCCGCATAGGGAGCTCCACCGAAGGCCCTAGTGGGTGTGCCCGCATGCGTCCCGCACGCCCATTTCGGCACACCCCTCGTACGTTTCGTGGCCCCGTAGGGGGCTCCACCGAGAAGATATTCACAATTGCAGTATTCACGATTGCATATGGTTGGGTCCTTCGCCAGGATTTTTTTTTTTGGTTCTGGCGCGCCCGCATGGGGCTGACCCCGTGGGAACCGATACGATGGGCGGTTCTTGTTGCTCCCAGCGCGGGTGGCGACGGTCTCGGCGCCGCTCTGGCTCGTGTTTCGCCGTGAGTGCGATCGGATGCGATGTGATTTCACGATTTCGATGCTGACTGATCTTTGGGGGGGAGGAGGGGGAGGAGGAGGAGGAGGAGGAGGAGGAGGAGGAGGAGGAGGAGGAGGAGGAGGAGGAGGACGAGGAGGAGGAGGAGGATTAGGAGGAGGGAGGCCGAGGAGGAGCGGAAGAGGAGGCGGAGGAGGAGGAGGAGGAGGAGGAGAGGAGAAGGCTGAGGAGGCGAAGGAGGCGGAGTAGGCGGAGGAGGCGGAGAAAGAGGAGGAGGAGGAGGAGGAGGAGGAGGAAGATAAGGAGGAGGATGACGAGGAGGAGGATGTGGCAGGATGATGGAGGAGGAGGCAGGAGGAGGCAGAAGGAGGCAGGAGGATGAGGAGGATGAGGAGGAGGAGGAGGATGAAGAGGGAAACGAGTAATAATAAGAAGACGAGTAATACTAGGACAACCAATACGAAGAATATTACGAATACTAATACTGAGACTACTAAAACTAAACATCCTAATGCGAATCGAATAATAGTATACATGTTATGAGTACAAGGAAGACTAACACTACTTATAATACGCAGACTGATAATCGTACTACTCATATTAAGAATCCTAGTATTAATAATCATAATAATAGTAATACGGGTAATGAGAATACGAGTACTATAACTAGTAACAAGAAGGAAACTACTAATACTAATAATAAGATGAGGAGGAGGAGGAGGAGGAGGAGGAGGAGGAGGAGGAGGAGGAGTAGGAGGAGGAGGAGGAGGAGGAGGGAGGAGGAGGGAGGAGGAGGAGGAGGGAGGGGAGGAGGAGGAGGAGGGAGGAAGGCGGGAGGGAGGAGGGAGGGAGGAGGGAGGGAGGAAGGGAGGGAGAGGGAGGGAGGGAGGGAGGGTGGAGGAGGGAGGAGGAGGAGGAGGAGGAGGCGGGAGGAGGCGAGGAGGAGGAGGAGGAGGAGGCGGAGGCGTAGGCGGAGGATGAGGAAGGAGGAGGAGGAGAAGGAGGAGGAGGAGGAGGGAGGAGGAGTGCGGAGACGAGGAGGAGGAGGAGGAGGAGGAGGAGGAGGAGGAGGAGGAGGAGAAGGGAGGAGGAGGGAGGAGGACGAGGGAGGAGGAGGATGATGATGAGGAGGAGGATACGGCGCTGGCTGGCGGACGCCGCGCTCCAGAGGCGCGACGGCGTGCACGCGACACCCCGATGCTTGAAGACCCGGAGTCCCCCCACCGAAGTTTTCGGAGGCTCGGTCGAACATAGCAATGACGAGGCCGAACAGCCGACGCGGGGCGCACTCAGGATGGTGCACCTATCTCGCGTCGCGGCCAGATCGAAGGCGCAGGAAGCGTCAGTCCAAAGCTGCAGACAGATATGCGGCATCACCTGGGACAGTGCTATGCGCTATCCTCCAGACTGTGCCCCCCCTCAAAGCGAGGGGAGTCCACCGAAGCCACTCCCTGGGAGCAGAGGTGTTTGGCGTCACCTGGGACAGCACAGCTCGTGTTATCCTCCAGGCCGTGCCTCCCGCAAGGCGCAGGAAGTCCACCGAAGCCACTCCCTCTAGATACTTGCCCATGGACCAGGTGTGCGGCATCACCTGGGGCGGCAAGCTCGCGCCATCCGCCAGGCTGTGCCTCCCTCCAGGCGAGGGGGGCCACCGAAGCCACTCCCTGGTCGCTGGGGCCAAAGGTCACGACGAGGCGAGCACCCGACGTCATCTGAGGCAGTGCCTAGGCATCCTGTCCAGAGCGGCTCAACGTGCGTCGGCGCATCATCGTCCACCGTGCTAGGCTTAGGGCGGCAGAGAACATCCAGCAAGCCTTCAGCGCACCGCGCCCAGCTGTACGCCATGTCACCGAAGAGGTTGCCGCCGCTTGTGGTCTCTGCCGCCGCACCATGATCGAGAGCGGTTCTGTAGGCCTCGACGTGGGAAGCAATGCCGCCAATTTGGTGCCATTGAATGGTGGCCCAGCCCTGAATATGCGCCCTCGGGGTCCGACGAGCGGGCGAAGAGCACCATTCCACTGCCGAGCACGAAAAAACACCCACGAGGCCCAGGGCTTCGACGATGAAGGGCATCTCGAACAATGTATTGAGGCCCAACCTTGAAGACGCGCCCAGGAGGTCCAGGTAGTGGCCGAGGAACGCCATGCCAAGGCCGCGGGCCAAAAACTCGCCCACGCGGCTCAGGAACTGGGCGAGGTGGAGCGCCATCAGGGGGTCCATGAACGGCGTCGGCGCGAGCACCACGACCATATTGCGGGCGCCCTTCGTCGCATCGATGAACGGCCTGAGAATCATCAGCTGCACCTCCAAGAGGAAAGACATCACGGACTCCGTCCCCCCTTCACGGCGATGGCCACCGAGAAAGCCACGACGTGGGACAGCAGCAGCACGGCCAGCGCGAGCAGTGCCAAGAACCGCGGCTCCAGGAACGTCACACCCGCGATCCGTAGCAGCGCCGCTGCCCGACAAGCACGAGGCAAGTTCGTCGGATCCGCCAATGTCAAGCGAGACGAGAGGACCAGCAGGGTAGTATGCGGCAGCCTGGCTACGAAGGGGCGTGCGCACCGTAGCGGCGGTGCGGATCCGTTGCGCTGCCAAGTTGGCCCCTGCGGCCGCGGAGAAGCTGGTGAGCGTCTCCAGGGTGTCCATGCGTGGAGCCCCGTCCACAGGCGACGTGTCTGGGTCCCTCGGCTGCAGCAGGGCAAGGATGGCGCCCGCCGCTGCTTGCGCATGGCGCGCCGCCGTGCACCGCGCCCTGGCACGGCGACGAGCAGCTCGGGACAGCGGGGCCGCACAGGAAGGCGACACGTGCGCTGTCGACATGAATCGCATCAGCAGCTCCAGGCGAGGCCAGGGGCAGCCGCGGGCGCGCCAGGGGAGAGGCCTGGCGCTGGGGGCATTGGCGCGGCGGGCGCCCGCCGCGGGGCAAAACAGCTGCGGCGCCCGCGCCGAGCCGCTCATGAGGAGGGGGGGGGGGGGGGGGGGGGGGGGGGGGAGGAGGAGGAGGGAGGCAGGAGGATGAGGAGGAGGAGGAGGAGGAGGAGGAGGAGGAGGGTAGGAGGATGAAGAGGAAGTAGAGGTGGGCTCTAGAGTTTAGTTTGTCTGAGGTTTTCCAGGGGGGCGGGCATACCGGCGCGGCCCGTTACTTGCGCGGTGCGCGATGCGGCGGTGGTGAGGTGTCGGTTGGTCTGTGAGTTTCGTCTGCGCTTCTGCGCGGCCATTTGTGGGGGGGTGATTTGGTTGTTTGTGTTTGTCGTGTTAGAAAGTCCAGGGTTCGCTAGGGACTGGTATCACTAGGCTTCAACGCGACCCCAACCCTAAAGAGGGGCGGTGGTTCCCGAAGGCGAAGGGGGCATGGGGGAAGGAGATGAATGATTGAAAAGGCGGAGGAACAAAAGAGGGGAGGGGTGGGCACGGGAGGAGGAGGAGAAGGGATTCAAGAAAGGCAGGGTTGCGAGGGGTTGTTAGATTTAGAGACTCATCCCCACCATAAGGCGAACATATCAATTTCGGACCATCCCGCCCTCCTGTTCCCTTTCCTCCCGCTCCACGTCCTCATCTCTCCTGCTCCTCTTCATCGTCATTCCTGGGGCAGCTTCCTGGTCGCGTTTCTCCCTGGCCCCGTCTCGTCCCAGCCCCTCTTCCAAATCGTCGTCATCCTCCTCGCCGTTCTCGATTCTGTTGCCGTTTTGGATCAAGCTCTCTTCAGGTTGCGTCGCTCTCTTTGCGTTCGAGCAGTTTAAGCGATTCCAGTTGCGTTCGTGCGAGCACCATGCCCCCGACGGTCGCTGAGAAGGTGCCCCTCGCCGCCTCGTCTGCAGGTGACGACCGCGGTGATGACGAGGACGCGCGCGCCGCCACCTGCGGGGAGATCGGCCAGCTGCAGAAGCTGGTCGGCAAGATCTTGCTGGGGCATCCGTTCAAGCAGGCGCCCGTGGACATTAAAGCGTTGGCCCGCAGGGCGGGGGGGATTGCGAACGCGGCCAAGGTGCTCGCGGATCATCCTGACAAGATCGAGTTCGCCGAGGTGCCCCTGCGCGGGGAGAACTCAAAGTCCCTGCTAAACGGTAAGACGAGTGGCAAAAAGACTGAGGCCGTGGAGCTTGCCAGGCTGAACTAGTCCAGCACCTTCGACTCGGACGCTGCGGAGACGCTGGCCGACGTGCCTCCCGCGTGGCTCTAGGCGGTGCTGGAGAAGCGCACCGAGGGCGGCATCTCGGCCGAGGTGAGGGCGGCCATCTCTCAGAAGAGCGGGAAGCTCCTCAGGAAGATCACAAATTTCGTGACAGGCTGGGCGGTAGAAGCAGCGACGCCCGCCCCCCCACCCTTCCCTGGTGGATGGGGTGGCGAGGCAGGCGGAGGAGGATGGGGGAGGGGGGGGGGGGTGGGGGTGGGAGGGGAAGGAGGGGGATGGGCCCGAACGACTCACCTCCTGGTGTGAGTCGTTCGGGCCTCTCCTCTTCCTCCTCCTCCTCCTGCCTCGCGTTTCCTCCCAGTCGTAGCCTGTCGCGCAATATTATGTCGTTCGTTTTTTTTTTTTTTTTTTTTTTTTTTTTTTTTTTTTTTTTTTTTTTTTTTTTTTTTTTTTTTTTTTTTTTTTTTTTTTTTTTTTTTTTTTTCTTCTTCTTCTTCTTCTTCTTCTTCTTCTTCTTCTTCCTCTCCCCTCTCCTTCCGCCCCCCTCAGGCTTGTCCGAGAGGCTGGCCCTCGTCGGGGACCTCCTGAAGAAGGAGCACCTCGCGTGCGTCATCGTAGCCAGGATCGGGGGGGGGGGGAAACACGCAGAGCGACGGCGTCTCTCCTCCAGGGGCGTTGAGGTTGACTCCACGGACATGCCCAGGCTGAAGGGCCAGACAGGCGTCTTCCAATTTCTGCCCCAGTCGGCCGACGACGATCGCGTCGTTCAGATCAAGTGCAACATCGCCAAGGTGTGCGTTCCTACGCCGCACTCGGACAGGATCACTTTCCGTTGCAGCGATGAGACCGTCGACAATCATTCCGAGAAGACCGCGTGGCACAGCCAATTGGGGACCAAGCGTTTCATCTACCGTATCTTCGAGGAGTGCGCCAAAAAGAACGATGGCATGGGCTTGATCCGTATGACGCCAGTGGCGGATATCATCTTCGACCAAGGCCCAGGCCGGCAGGAACCTCGACGTCGCGTGCGACGCGCCCCTGGCCCAGCAGATCAAGCGCCAGAGGAAGGCCCCTGCGGGGGCGCCTGCCGCTTCGCAGAAGTGAGCGCCCAGTTTGGGGCGACGTTTTTGATTTGTGCCGTGCCCCTGTTCATATCGACGCCGTGGCCTTGCTGCAGATTGCAGTGCAGCGCGGTAACCGGCTGGTAAACGGCTGTCTGAGACGAGGCGAAGTTGCCGCTATCGAGGCTGATGTTCGGGAACTAGAACACGCCAGGGGGGGCCCGGGCTCTGGGGGGGGGGGGGGGATTCGACGGGCGAGGTCGTTCAAGTTGAAAGTCGCAGTGTCTCGGTGCGGTGTTTTTCTAGCCGCCGCAGCGCGTCTCACAGTTTCCCTTGTGGCATAGCGGGTGGCTGCTGCATTTAGCGCTTGTTAGTGCGTACATCTCGCGAACCAGCACGGCCGAGCTCAAGCAAACTAGGGCATGAGACCGTTGAGCGAAGAGCATAGTGCCCCTTCCTGCTCCCTCTCTCCGCGCCCAAGCACTGTCACTCCTGTCTTCTCGTCGGTGGCCCGTGCGCTTCCTGCCCGACGGAGCGCGCCCAGCTGTCGCGCGGCAGAGGCTCGGGGAAGATGGGGGAACGGGGGAGATTGGAGAAGGGTAGAGGGGGGATGGGGAATGAGGAGTGAGGTAGGCGGGAGGAGGGGGGGGGGGGGAATGAGGAGGAGGAAGGAGGAAGTGTGGCGGTGGGCGCGGGGGCGCTGGAGGTTGACGACGGGGGAAGGAGGGGGGGGTGTGTGTGGGTAGTGACCAGGATTACCGCCACCGTCCTTCACGTCTCCTCCCCCTCGCTGAAATTTAGAAAACCTGGAACCCATTATCTCTACGTGTTCAAGTGTTGCGCTTCGGCCTTCTCGTTTTATCTCCTTTTTGGGTTCGCGCCAGGTAAGTGCTTCTGTCCAAGACCAGTCGGGAATGCCGATCGGATGTCATGTGCCTGACTCCCCAACGTTGGGCCTGGGCAATTGTGGTTGAGGGGTGGGCCCAACCTCCAGCGACCTGTGTTCGTCGCCCTTCGGAGAGGGGCGCATAGACATATTACCGTTCGCAGCCTCGGCCAAGGTGGTGGGGCGAGGGGGGGGGGGGGGGGGGGGGTCCCGGGGGTCCCGTTAGGACCTCAGCAGCCAGCGCATCTCGAGCTCCCTCCCGTCTTGCGCACAGCGTCGCGAGACCGCGCGACAGAATATGGGCGAGTTAATTCCAGACCAGGGGGGCGTCGTCGTTGCAGTTCAGGAGCCGCCTGTCAAGAAGCTGAAGACCCCCCAAGACTACTTGAGCATCATCGCCGACGGGTCGGTCAGGGGGGTCTCGCAGCAGCACCTCTTCAAGTCGGTGGCCTTCGAGCGGGCCCTGCTCGACGCTTCTAAGGGCCGAACCCTCCGAAAGTTGGTATTAGCTGTTAAAGCTGCGGCGGCGACGCTAGTCTGGTGCCTTAGCCTGTGGCATGTGTCTGGGTTTTACTATGATGATTCAGTCTGGTGCCTTAGTGTGGCTCCTTAGCCT